TTTGATCTAGGGACCTCCGAATTCGATTTCAGACATATAACCTAGGCCCAAATCACAATACGGAACTACCGGAATGATCAAAACTTTTATCCGGGTTCGTTTGCTCAAAATGTTGACCGAAGTCAACCCAGTTGAGTTTTAAAGCTCTAGTTCACAATTTAATCCATCTTTTTTACATAAAAACCTTCTGAAAAGTTATACGGACTGCGCATGCAAGTCGAAAAATTATTGATATTGATTTTCAATGTCTTAAAACACCGAGATGGTTATTTAATTTAAAGATAACATTTTGATTTAAAGATGACATTTTGGGTTATCACACTTAGTTACTAATCCCAATGGTAATAATAGTGCATTTAATAAGAGAAATATTTTTATCATTAGATTAAAATGCAATTTGTGTAAATCACATAATAGAATTAAAAAGATATCTTAGCTAGCAGAAATGAATATGTTGATAAACTAAATAAAATGGTGGTTGCAAAATGTTATAGAAAAAATAAAATATTTTTCAGTTTTTGACTTAGTAGAAAATGATACCAATAATTACTACCAAGAATAATACTTAAATACTTTAATACCAATGACCTTCAACCATACATTTTTGTTGTCAAGTTTCTTATTTCTTATGTATGTTATTGTCACCGTATATATAATAGACTAAGTTAAAATTGATCTTCTATTGTATATAGGTTAATTTTGAAGAAAAATATGTTTGTCATGCTACTGAAAAACTTAGATAAGCCGAGTAGCCTATGTAATAGCACACAAATAATATATAAAAGTTTTGACAATAACGTCATACATGCAAAAATTATGATATTGGTTAATGTGTTTCTAAGTATATTCTTATCCCTGAATTCAACTTTCCTCTTCCGAAACTAAGGAATATTGTTTTAAATTTGTGTGAAAATAATTTTTAGTATGTTTATGTTTTGCATATATAATAAATAAAGTACAAAGACAAACATCCTAAATATTGGACTATATTTATCACAATATGTTTTCTTGCACGAATAACTGTATGTTGCACTTTCAAGAGGGATATTAAGATCGACAACAATAGTTCTGGTTAAGGCAGAGCAACCAGTGCATTAGGAGGAAACATACACAAAAAAATATTGTCCACAAAGAAGTGTTCGTTAATACCATCACATTAAATATTTTTAAACTATAATATATAATTATCTAACTAACATGACAAAATTAATCATTTATGTAAGTTTTGATAATGTTCTTTTATTTTAAATTCATGTATTATGCTAATGTAATAATATTTTTCGGCATTAAGATAATTATTGTATTATTATACATAAAAAATTTCTCATTCATAAAATTTCATTGTTCCTTCATCTATATTATTATAGAAGCACGAATACAATGTCGGTTTACAAAAATAAACTTAAAAATAAATTTTATATTAGACAAAATAGTCATTTTACTATTTTATTAATATTTAGGATTTTGAAATCAATTAAAATTATGTTTATAAGTCTTTCCTTATTTGATTAATATTCCTTTTGGTTTTGGTAAGTTACATTCTACGTTGAATAAAACTATACCATAAACTTAATATCATAAACTTTTGCTTTCTCCCGAAACTATATAGAGACAATGAATATTTATTGTCTGAAGTTCTCCCATCCAATGAAACTTCAATTAAACTACCCTAATTATAGTTAACAAATTCTTGAGTCAATAAACGATAAAATACCATTCAATGGCTGTATTTTTTCTTTAAAAGATAATTCCGTGTTGGAAAAATTAATTATATTTTGCTATAGTATATCCTAGATAAAATTATAATCACCATTAATAATTTAAAGTTTAGATGAATCAATAATTATTCCAACATCTGTTTATTATGCATTTTTATGGTACTAATATATCGGCTCCTATTACCTTTTTGAGCTGAGGGTCTCCTGGAAATAGTCTCTCTACCCTTCGGGGTAGGGGTAAGGTCTGCGTACATATTGCCCTCCCCAGACCCCACCTGTGGGATTATACTGGGTCGTTGTTGTTGTTGTTGTTGTTGTTGTTCCTTCTAATAGGAAGTTTCTTTTTAAGTTAAAGATCGCTCAGGAAATCTACTTCTTCTGAAGGAAAAAAATCCTTATCTTAATTTGAAATGATTTTTTTTTAATTTTTTCAATCAAAAAAATTGATAAAGTATTTTTAATACAATACAGTAATAATTATGCCTCGGTCCAAAAAAAAAGGGACTAAACATCTTTAAATTATATATTAGTTATCTACAACCAAACAACTTTAAGTTATATATCAATTATTACAATCAGCTAAATAAATATTTTCAACCAAAGAAGTAATAGTTTTCACAATATTTATGCAAGTTATACAGAGTTAAATTATTTCTTTAATCTTGGTAATAGTACTTGGAAACTGGAAGTTCTAGACCGAATAATAGAGAAAAATGAGAATATATATCAAAATTTGTTGCATTAATAAGAAGTGAAAGAGAACAAATAATAATTACAAGTAATAACTGATATTCAAAAAGAAGTTTATGGTTTTAGGGATTTCTCGAAAACTTAGACATCACAACTACTTCCAAGTTAAGAGCTATTGTTTTAAAACTACTATTCGTATTGAATAAAAATGTACTAATATTTAAGATTTTGCTTAATTTTAGAACTTTAAATCCAACCAAAACTGTTATTTAACTATAGTAGTAACATTAAAGTCCTAAAACTTAAAATATCGAACTTTCTCCTAAGCCACGTGGCAAACCCACAACGTGGAAATATTGTATTAGAATTGGAAAAAAGAAATTAGAGCTAAACCTCAATCGTCTTAGACTAATTCTTTTTACTTCTTCTTTTTAGTAACTATATTACAAAAGGTCAACTCTAATATTGCTGGATTGTTTTTTGTAGATAGATAGGATGAATCGAAAGAAAATTCTTATATTGTACATAACTTGAAACACCGAGAGGAATGATAATGTTACATATAATAACAAGTGGTATATATAGCAATAACGAATTTGTCAAGAGGTCATAATATGGTTCACTCTAAATTTGACATACCTCTTTAAATAATCGAGATAACCATCATAAAAATATCAAAGTATAGTGAAGATATGCTATATCGTTAGAAAAGAAAAATTAATCTGGGATAAACCACTTATATGGAGAAGCGTCATATCATCGACACCGACGGCATGAGCTTTAGGATATAATGAACGTCGAGGAATTATTGGGCAAAAAGATAATTTTTGAAGGTAATTTATGTCAAGTACCATCAGTAGTTCCAAATCAACAAATACATAAATTGTAGATGCAACATGGTAACTTCATATTTACGGCATCAAATTGAAAAGATTAGGCTAACAACAAAAATATAAGAGTGTGAATGAATATGATATCTAGTGATATTTTATTTCTTGTCAAAACAAAATAGAGCATACAATTAAACATAATTGGCCTTTCTCCCAAACCAATTGAATGTCAAGCCCAATGGTGATAGCGGTATTGAAGATTGCTTAATAAGAAAAATATTTTCATCATTAAATAAAAATATAAATTATGAAAAATACATGAAAAAAATAACTATCTTAGCTTAGGAGAAATAATCATGCTTCGAACTAGATATTGATGCCCAAGTTTCCTGGTGAAAGCAGAGCATTTATTTATTTTGATTTCACACGAGATGATACCAATAACTGTTACCAAGAAAAATATTTAAAATACTTAGCACCAAATGATTTTCACCATACAGGTTCATTGTATAATTTAATTATCTATCTCTCTCTCTTTCACTTGGTAACTATCTCTCAAATTATATAGTTTTGAATTCAAGTATTATGTTAATATATAATAACAATTACATTTTTCACATCAATTGCATTACAACAAATATTTTTGCTTTGTACAAATATTTGATAAATGTAATTTATTATTCTTTCATTCAAAAATTAGCTAAATACACGTATATAGAAACTAGTGCATAACAATCTGTATGTTGCACTTTCAAGAGGGATATCAAGATCGGCAATAAGAGTTCTAGTTAAGACAGAGCAACCAAATCATTAGGAGGAAACATACACACAAAAAAATATCGTCAACATAGAAGTGTTCGGTAAAATACCATCACATTAAATACTTTTAAACTATCCTCTCTCCTGTCCACTTTTAGGTTAATATGGTCAATTACATTGTTGATTAATGCTAAAAAGTCGATTCCTTAATATGTGTGAAAGCAATAAAAAATCACTTAAAGTGGACTAGAGGAAGTAATACATAATTATCTAACTAACATGACAAAATTGATCATTATTGTAAGTTTTGGTGATGTCCTTTTATTTTAAATTCATGTATAATGCAAATGTAATAATACTTTTCGGCATTTAGATGATTGTTGTACTATTATACATAAAAACTTTTTCATTAATTAAATTTTATTGTTCCTTCATATAAATAAATGTTTAAACTATCAAGTACCATTAGTAACAGGCAACGCACGTTCGTAGATATTAGTATAAATAAATATTTAAATCATCACGTACCATTATTAACGTGCAACGCACGTTCATAGATACTAGTTACGTAGTTTAATAATTAAACATAGGATTTATAAGAGAATGAAAAGATGCTACCTAGTATTAATTAGTAGCCCTAGTCCCGAATAAAAGGGAACAAAGAAGAAAAAAGAAACAGACCAATAAGGCAACTTAATTAGATATTGTTTTCAAAATAATCTCAACTTCTTGATCATTGAACTGTTCATTAGACCCACTTAAGTCGGGAGAAATTCAAAAATAACCAGATTTATAATTGGTCATTCAAAAATAATCACAGTTTCAGAGTAATCGAAATTTAGCCACTTTTTATGTAAAGATAAATCTGAACGAAAATATTGTTTAAAATTCGGAAAAATATATCGGTCCAGCATAATATACTGAAGATTGGACCGGTGCTCCAATCTCCAGTATATTATACTGGAACTTTTCGTGTTACAGTAAAATAGTGATTATTTTTTAATAACTTTGCAAACGCTGACTATTTTTGAATGATCAATCCGAAAACTGGCTAGCTTAGGCTATTTTTACACTTAAGTCGAAGAAGTGTTATTGCTCCGAACCACAAGACCCAACAAAAATTCCATGACTTCCTTTGGTTCACGTAAAGAGTATAAAGCCTTGGTGTCTTTTGGAGTAGCAGATACAACTATTGGAAAACCTTGTCCCCTTTTCCTTAATACCTGCAATAATTTCATTACAGGAAAATTCTTAGAAAAGAAATAAATTATGTAAACTTACTTTTCTTTTAAGTAAGAAATTAAAGTCAGATTAAGCAAAAATCTAGATGTTTTGATTTTCATGCACGAAATCTTTTACAACAACAACACGCACAATATGATTTCACAAGTAGAGTCCGGGGACGGTGAGGTGTACGCTATATATGCAAACTTTACCTTTATCTCGTTTAAGGTAGAGAAGTTGTTTTCGATAGACTTCAGCACAAGATATATAAAACAACAACAACAACAACCCAGTATAATCCCACTAATAAGGTCTGGAGAGGGTAGTGTGTACGCAAACTTTACCGCTACCCCGATAGGGTAGAGAGGCTGTTTCCGATAGAACATGATTGAAAAATACAAGAGATGCACGAAACAGAAAGGAGTTATTTATTACATTGAAAGCGTCTTCATCAGTTCGATCATCTCCAATGTATATTGGAAAAACATCATCTGAAGTTCCAAATCCAAGATATTCTAAGAAATATTCCAGGGCGTGACCTTTATTCCACCCAATATTTGGTCGTATCTCAAATACCTATTCATAAAAAAAAAAATATTCGTTAAATTCTTGTTGTTAAAAAAAATACAGTTAATTAACCAATTCATTGAAAGAAGATTACCTTCTTGCCTTTTGATACACGAAAGTTTTGGTATTCTTTTAACACAGTAGAAATCATATTTTCGAGTGTTCCGAGGTCCTGCCATTTGGAGTTCATAGTAAACAAAATAAACAGTGTCAAAAGTGAGGATGTAACGATCCAACCGGTCATTTTAAGTTTTAGTATTCCGTTTGAGTAGTTAGAATTATAGGAATTTTTATGACTTATTATATTATCAGTTCTTGGGGTAGCTAGTTTGTATTAAATTTCGTACTCTTATTTTATTATTTATTTGATGATCTTCAGTTGAGTTATGTTTCATATATTAGTTGACTTGCCTAGCGGGCTAGTTTAAGGCGACGTCTCATTGTTTATGTAATAAAACAGACCTTAGCGAGAACATGTCTGTAGTGTACAGAAATGCAGAATTTGTTGTCTTCAATATTGACGCCCTTGATACTTTTAGTTCTCTCACTCAAGAGATTAAAAACCTAATTAAAATACATTAAAAAAATGTTAGGAGAATTAAAGAATCAATTGTTGAAAAGAAAACTTCAATCCTCATACCAAATATATATATATATATATATATATATATATATAGTTATAGTTATAGTTACATTTTTTTCTTTCTAATTTGTGTATTGTATATGCAAACTCCACGCACCCATACCTTATGTTTTTCAGGCAAAAATTCTTTCGCAGGTTGGTGAAGAACAACTTCATAATCCTAAAATTTCAAAAAATATACAAAAATCAAGACCTAACGACCTTGAACTTTCACATAATTACAGACAAGCAATTAGAAATATAATATTTATTAAAGAAAACTAACCATATCATCAAAATTTGTTGTGTGATTCAATGGAGCTTCGATATCTAACCCATGACTCCCAGCATAATAAACATTGTTCAATTGTACAAAATCTTGTACCTAGAAACAAAAAGAAAAAGAAGAAGAAAGCGTAAGTAGAATTAATTAATTAATAATAACTAAACTTGACTTGGTTCAGTATTTTCTGTATAATTTAAAGGATGTAAACTAAACATGAACCTTTTCTCGTTGCCGTCCACTAATTATTGCAGTAGGAAAGTGATTAGCAACTTCACGTAGCACCCTTCTCATCTGCAATTTATATGAAACTTTCCCTAATTAATGTGCCATTGTAATTTGATGATTAATTACTAAAATTATATTCATCTTAACGTTTTTTGCATGTGATATTATACTTCTTTTGAGGGAGTATGTATGTGTATATATATATATATATAAGCTTTTTGTTTCATGTAATGCTCTATATATAAAGGCAGTCTGGTGAAGAAGGCATCATCGCGCGTTTGTGCACGGCCTGGGGAAGGATCACACAATAAAGGGTGTGATGTGGACAGCTTAACCTAATGCAATCATTAGTGGGTGGCTCGAAATTATTTAAGTTTACCATGTAATGCACTGTAAATTATTTAAATGTCTTAGTTTGACTGCCCCAAATATTAATTAACCAAAATTTTGAGACAATTTAATACAAAAGGTAAATTAAAATTGAGAGAATTTTAATTATACCTTGTGAGTCATAAAAGCTTCTTCAGGATTTGGTACAATATCAGACAAGGTGCCATCATAATCCAAGAAGATTACTATCTTTCTCCCTTTTGTTATGCTCATCATTTGTTCTAATTTATCCAAAGCAGAAGGATGCTCCATCTGTACATAAATTATTATCACCAAAACATTATGTAATAACAACAATAACAAATTAAGTATAATTCTACAAAGTGGGATTAGGAAAAATAAGTGTACGCAGACTTTACTCTTATTCTGTGAAGGTAGAGATGCTTGTTCAAATAAACCCCCGACTCAAGGAATAAAAAAAAAGTAACAAGCAGTAACAACAATAAAATAAGAAACAACCAGACTAACACGAAGATACGAGGCTAAGAAACAGCAAGATAAAACAACAACTACAACAAGATAAGAACCACCAAAGGATGTGGTGCAGTGATGAGACTGCTCTTCCCTTAATTAGAGATCTCGGGTTCGAGCCCTGGGTATGGAAAAATCCTTGGTAGGGAGCGCTTCCCCCCGAATGGGGCCTTACGCAGCGTGAATCCAGATATAGTCGGACTAAAATACGGGTACCGAACATCGGGGGGAAAACCAAAAAAAAAAAAAAAAACAAGATAAGATGATAGAATAGCAGAAACAACATGTAGCAAAAGAAACCTACAAATAAGAAGATGTTTAATATTACTCAACAAATTATTTTCAAACAGCTTTCAGCTTCACAAGTTCTAAAAATTCAAATTTAATTAACCAAAGTTTACTATATACACATAATTAAATAAACATCTTCAGCTTAATTTAGATAAAGATCAGAAATGGGCTTAATTACCAGCCAAGAAGTGTACTCAATTGAGAAAGCATTTTCACCTTCAGTCGATGAGAGCCTTGACAATCCCATATCTTCGATTAATGCCTGAAACAAATATATATATATAAAATCTCAATGTTATAAGAAGATATTATAATTAAAAAAATACATGTAAATTATCTCAAGTCAAATTTTATAACTTCCAAATGCAAGAAAATCCACGTAACTATAAATTTATCAAATTTGGAAAGGAGTAGTAGGTTATAATAGGATTAAGCCAAAGATCGAGCTAGAATACGAGGTACCAAATCGACTGAACCTAATAGTTTTAGTCTAAATTTTGTATATATAAAAATTTACAAAATATGTATAAAAATTAAATTCACATTCACTTATTAACACGTGGTGTCTATAGAGTTAAATTTAAAACCCATAAAATTCATATCATAGCCTGCATATATAACACGCTAAATAGGGTAGCTAATTCTGGTAAAGTTAAGTGTTCTAGTAGCTTCTTTTTTAAGAAATGATTATTTCATAAATATTTTTTTTGGGTATATCTAACTATCTATATCTAGTTTTTATTGGGCCAACTAATTTAGATTCGCGTCGTAAAAAGTTCATTAAAGAGGAAATGCTCTTTACCAAGAGTTTTTCCATTTCCAATGCTCGGAAATCATTGGTGTGATGGTAATATGAGACAGGGGCGGATGTAGATACTCAGCGGGTTTAATTGAACCCATAACTTTCGACGCGGAGTAAAAATTTATATGTAAAAATTCATTACAATTGCAAAAATAGTAAATATGAACCCATAATTTTAAAAATATAATGCGTTCAATTATAAATTTTTTAAAAGTTAAACCCATAAAATTTTGAATCCTGAATTCACCTCTGATACGAGATATCTTGTTCTTTGGTCTTCACAGACATGTATAAAAAGTGGTAAAATATGTATTTTTAGTTGTTCTAATATTTCTTTGTACTCTTCATAACACTGGCCTTTACCAATATTCTTCAAAACCCACACAGAGATACATTTAAGGCAGATTTTAGTGAGTTCAATTGAACTATGTGTATATATGTGTAAGAGTTTTAAATGTATACATATTATATACATACGATCACACTTATTTAGATCCACTAACTCTAAATTCTAAATTCACCTCTACCTGTGAGAGAGATTCAAAAACAAAATTGAACAAAAAACGCGAATAACTTGAATTACAACAGAAAATAAACAAAGCGCACGCTCATATATATATATATATATATATATGTATATGTATATGTATATATATTGAACCAAAACAAATGATGGTTAGCCAAAGTTTCTGTTCCAATACAAGGAAATGATTAAATAGAAAGAGTAAAAAAAAGAAGAAAAATACCTTATAGGTACTGTTTTTAGAGAGGAAATAACTTCTTGATTTCTTTCTTTTGGCATGGGTTCTTGTCTATTTCTCTTGTCGGGGGAGAGGGAGTAAATAAATCAAGAGTTTGAGCCTATATATAAGAAGGAGAAAGGAAAGTAATTTAATTTCTTTATTTTAATAGTTAAAAATAAGTCTAGATTTAGCAATTTTAATTTAGTTTGTAATCTCATGAATCCACTGCTAGTTTTGTTTGTTTGACGTGTAAAATATATTACACAATCACTTATAAGGTAATAAGTACTATGTCTATTTGGTAAATTGAATTATATTACCATAACTTAAGCTATATTAATAGTATTAAAAGAATCTTTATTGATCCTACTAATATTTGGCAAATCGAGTCTGCGATTTGTAAATGATCTAAATTATGAAGAATTAACCCGATTAGCCGTCTACTCAATTTTTTAAACTAAAAATAGCCTGCGGAGGTATATATATATAATTTATGTTTAATATGTGTATAATCAAAATATATAATCTATGATCAACATTTTTTAAACTTCATATTTTAATATTAAGTAGCAATGAAATTGAACATATTAACATTTACTATCTCTTCACATAAACACTCCTAACACATACTCTAACATTATTTACTCCAAAGGTAATGTAGGAAAAAAATAATTAATTCATTCCTGAAATCTGGAAAAATTACTTATTTTGGACCACAAAAAAGGCCAAAAAATTATTTATTGCGGATCGGAGGAAATAGTACTTAATTGGTACGTCTTGGTTTTCTTTTTTTTATTTGATTCTTTCTTCGCGAAGAAGCAAATGTGAAGACTGCCACATGTTAACAATGGAACTTCATTACTTCAGTCTACTTTCTAATATTAATGATCTCTTTATCATTTTCTCTGACTTTATGAAACTTATAGGTACTTTAATTAGCTAATATTGAACAAAATTAAGACGGTCTAAGAGTGTGTTTGGTACGAAGGAAAATATTTTTCTCATGTTTGGTTGGCTTAACTACTTTGAAAAATATAGAAATTATTTTCCAAAACTCCCCATCCCCACCTACCTTACCTACCACAACCCCCGCACCACCCCACCCTTGCCCCCCACACCTATCCTAAATAAAAATATTATTAATAATACTTTCTTTTCATGTTATAGATAGATTTATTTTTTCATTTCAACAAATGCGTATTTTCTTTTTTCATGATATAAAAAAATATTTTTTTTCATGATATAAAAAAATATCTTTTTTCATTCTAACAAAAAAGATACTTTCTTTTCATGATATAGAAAAAATATTTTCTTTCATTTCAACAAAATGAGTATTTTCTTTTCATGATTGAAAAAAAGTATTTTCATTTATTTCAATAAAATAATTACTTTGTTTTCATGGTGTAGAAAGAGTACTTTCTTTTTCAACCAAAAAAGAGTATTTTATTTGTAGTTTTGGATCATAAATTTCAATGTTGTTTTGCATAAAAAAAGTAAAACATCACATTAGCTCATTTGGGTTTGTGTGNAGAAAATATTTTTCGGAAAAAGTTTTCCACTCACCAACCAAACAAGGGAAAATAAGTGATAAAATCACTCATTTTTTCATGAAAACATTTTTCATGGAAAACATTTTCCTTCATACCAAACACACACTAAGTTACATAACATTTTCCAACAATATTAAAAGAAGTTATATACCAGTAGAGCTATCAAAACGGGCCAGCCTAGCGCAGCCCAACCCAGCCCAAATCTTACAAGCTTTGAAATTTGGTGGCCTAGGGTGGGCCAGCCCGCCATCTAAATGAGTTTTAAAATAGCTAGCCCAACCCAGCCCCAAGAGGGTTGTGGGCTAGGCCGGGCCGACCCTTCAATTTTTTATAGAAAAATATTTCTTCAAATCTTTAAAGATTTCTTCGTGACATAGTCTCTTAATCATATGAACGACTTCTTTTTGTTTAGAGTGTACAAAATCTTGATATTTGACAAGGAATCTCGTAATTGAAATGCACATTTTCTATATCTATAGGTCTTCTTTTTTAACGTTACATGAATATTTTTTAATACTTTTCTTTCACTTTTTTCAGGTTGAGGGATTGTTTCACTAAGTTTATATGTTGAGGTTTTTTAATTTAGGTTTAACATTATTTACTAAATTCATCATTATAGTTCATTACTATTTTAAAATTCACGAAATTTGCTAGTGTTGTCAATTTTCTTTGGGTCTTAAAACTTGGCCTTTTTCCTAGTTCGTCGTAATTAAGCAAAAGAAAAACTAATCTTGTCATACTACATGCATATCAAAAATCTAAATTCTAGTAGATATGGAAGGGTAAATGAGCAATTTAAGGTTGGGGAATGAGAATTATAGTTAATAGTTTGATTTTTATTTTTTGTAAATATTAAATATTTAAATTTGAATTTAATTAATTTTTGGCCCACGGGCCGGCCCAGACCCAGCCTCGATCAAGCCTTAAGGGCCGATAGCTAACTTGGGTCGGGCTTATAAGCCTAAATTTTAAATGGATTAAAAAAATTCCAACCTAACCCTACTCTAGTAGTGGGCTAGGTTGGGCTGACCTCACAAGTCAAGCCCATTTTGACGGCTCTATATACTAGTAGGTGTAAATTGTTTATTTTTTTTTAATATTATCATGTCATCTCATGTCACTGCAATCGATGAAAATAATCTGATGATGTAAAATTTGTTACACTACCAATAATATATATAACTTAAATTCTTAAAGAAGGAGATGTTAAGATCTAATTGTCTCTAGATCTCTATCTAAATATGTTGTTGGTATTGGTCCTCTAGAATTAAAGTTATACAGATTTATAATATTTCTTTTACACTATCAGAGTACTTAAATCTATTGTAACATGCTAGTTTGTTTACCCTTAAATCTGAGTAACAATTAAATTTATATTTTGGTTTTAAAGATACGCGATTTAGTACAATATCAATTAATAAACAAGGAATTAAATGTCTAAACTGAAAAAAATAAAGTAAGTCAAATCAGTGTGCAATCCAATTCTTGACCTCGAGTTATGGTGGCCTCGAGGTAGGTTAGCAAGAACAACAAAATTGTAAGGCAACTCTGATGAATAGTAAGCAAGAAAGTGTAGAATGTGTATTTCTTTGTGAATGAATCATATGTTACAAATGAATGGGCTCTCCTTTATATAGTAAGGGGTCCTAAATAAGGTACACTTCTAATTACAGTAAGAAATCTTATTGGACAGCCGTCTAACTGCCAAGTACAAATCCATTCCGGAATTTACGTCGGGATCTTCGAGCCGTTGCGGGAATCTCGCTCTTTCTGTTATTAAGCCATAACGGTATTATCTCGAGGTTGATCGTACTTGGCCTTGTTTTCATCAAGCACTTCGATCTTCAAGTTCTACACTCCGCCATCGGGCTCGAGCCAGGTCCATTTTGAGCTTTTCTCGAAGCAGCTCCCCAAGCATACGAAATCGAGCATACCTGATTTCAACCATATATAGATAGTTCCCGTGTTGCTTAGAATAAGATGATAAGAAACTATTTGAGCCTCGATTTTCCGGAGCCCCTGATGATGATGTCATCCCCGTGACGTAAGCGTTCGAAGTAACCGAAATGTCCCGTTAGTTCGCTTCCTCAAAACATTAAATGCTTGCCAGTAGCGGCCGACCACTAGCGCCGTTGAACAGTCGCCGTTTGCCTATAAATACATGGCTCAAACAAAAACCTTGAAAAAGAACCGTGGTTTAAATAAAAACCAAGGGGTAATTGCTACACTACCTAACAAAAGAAAATCTTTTTATTTTTTTTCCCCTTTAGACTTAAATCCCTCAAGAAAATTGTCTAATAGATCCATCGTAGGGAAAAGTCCAATTATTATTTAATTAAACTAACATAGCTAAAGTAGCATGAAAAGTCACCCAGACAATCTCCTCACCCCACACTTAAAATTATGCATTGTCCCCAATGCACAACATAACCATAAGAGGGTAAGAGAAACTCCCTGGTAGCCCAAAGGCCGAAGCACTAGCATCTCATGGGGTACTCAGACTTCTCCTAGACCTGGTCCTTCGTGCGGGTACCTCACACTTAGTTCCAACCATACCATCTTATTTGCTGTTGCATCCTTCCAATGGCTTTGCATTCCATTCTCCTAAAAATCAAAAATCGACACTACAAGAATAATACAATAAAAAAAATAATAAACTAAATTAAAAATAAAAAAATAAAATAAAGTTGGGTTGCCTCCCAACAAGCGCTTGATTTAACGTCGCGGCACGACGTGAATCACTTTTTGCCTCTACCTCGAGCTTAGGAATTGAACCCCAAGTTTTGATTTAAGCTTATGATTATGGTCATGGGGCGGTGGAACGAATCTAACTGGCCCAAAGAAATAATGTAGTATTCTGCACTCCTTTGCCTTTGTATGAAGTATGTAATCCTGACTTTCTGGCAAGAAGAATTCTAGAATATATGCACCTTGTTCCTCATTCCTTGACTCTTCAATTGGCTCGGATGACTCTATTTCCATATCATCATCCAAACATAATGTGGAAAAATGCTTGGAATGTGGACCAATGCGCTCAAACATATGAACTTCAGGACTTTCAACATCCTCAACATCATTCACACTAGAGTCAACAAAATTTGTATCTTCAATGTCCCTGGTTGACTCTAGTATTACTTCTTCAACATCGGCATCCTCAAATTCTAGCTGGATAGATTGTTGGTGTTCTATTCTAACCTCCTCCTCTAGCCCATCATCGTATTTTTTTAAATCCTCCAGTATAATGGCAATTTCTGCAGCCAATTCATACTCATATAGGCTACTATCCACAATGTCAACTTGTTGCGCTTTACAAGGTTCAACAACAACAACCTTTGTGAATAGTTGTGAATAGTTTCCCCTTGCCTTTGTACCCGCAGTTGTATCTTATCATATTGTTCCATAAGGCACTTTAGCATATCCTCGATCTCTTTCAGGTCCTCATACCTAGGTTCTTTGTTCCTATTAACTTCACAAGAAAAAGAAGAACCATCAAAGTAAGGGGTTGGAGGAAGATAAGAAATATAAGCACAACCA